ATGCAGTAGTCTATCTAACTGTAAGTTAGTCATATTTTTTATAACAAAAAATGCGTATATATGCTATAAAATATATGTTTTTATTTATATTATATTTTAAAGTGAGAAATGCTATAAGTACATAATAGTGTACATAGAGGTGTATAGTCACATTAAGTGGGTCCTATCAAAAATAAAAAATTAATTGGACATCACTTCATGTGAGTGTATGTACACCTTTATGTACATTTATTATGTACTTATAACATTTTTCTTTTAAAATTGAATGTGATATTTAAGTATAAATGTTTATATATTTACTGAAAAAAATATGTGTGGCTCAGACCATAACAGAAGACCTGTCCGGATGAAATGGTTGGCCACATTCTTTATTATTATTTAAATTTATTTTTCGATAACCGTTATGTGGTGAAAAAACTAGCACATTTTAATAATGGATTTTAGTGAAAAAACTAGCATTGTTTAGAAGTCATTATTGCTTTTCCAAGAATGTCACCACTGGCTAGGATGTTTTACACTTTTCGACTGCGGGTCTGTATGTCACGCTTTTACCTTAGCATCGATCAACTCGGGTACTAGTGTAACGACATTTCTGAAAAGCGCCATCATACCATTTTTTTTTTTTCAAAAAGTTTAATCAAATGTTAACCCTTTTTTTCTAAATGTGTCATTTTCAAATACCCTTTTAATTTAGTCAGTTTCCTTCCACATTAGGTTCACTTATATGTTTGGAGATCTCCATAACTTTCAATTCCTTAATTGCGCAAAAACACACGTTATCAGTTTATGGAACTTGCAAATCTTGGTCAAGATCCTCACCTTATCCTCCATGGTTGGTTCAAATCATACCATGAATACGTCAGGGATGTTTGTGTGAAATTGTAGGTTGTCCTTTCTTATAACTAGTACAGATCCCGTGCGATGCACTGGGTGCATAATTTTAAGGCTATTTATCCAGGCTTATAATTCTATCAGTTATGCTAAGGAGCCAACAACCAATGAGACAGCTTCATGTGGGGCTGTCCCACATTGGAGCTATGTGGGACCGCCCCACATGAAGTTGTCTCATCAGTTGGCTCCTTAGCATTATTGATAATTGTATACATGAATAAAGAAAAATATACAGGATATATATAGTACGTGACCGTGCGAAGCACGAGATATATTTATTTGGAGAATATTATATTATAAGATGTAATATTCAATAAAAGTTTATAATACGCAAAAAAATTGTACAATGTTCACATACCCGTGCCGCCGTGCGAAGCACGAGATATATTTGTTTTGTTTTATGATTTGATAATATAAACAAATCTATACTTAACTTTGACAAATAAAACAAATAAATATTTTAGTAAGTATTTAATGTATATACTAAATAGGAATATATTTGGTATAATCAAATATCAAATATAATCAAATAAGTCAAAGTGTACATTTTTATTTGGTATTTGATTTTTTTATTATTAAAATCTTTTTATTGTACTTACCTTTTTAAAATAAAATAAATAAATCAATTAAATAAATAAAATATTATAATACCAAAATAGTAATGGCATTTAATACAGTTGACTTTTCTGGATAGTAAATGTACTAAATAGAATTTCCTTTAATATAAGTATAGATTGTATAATACGGAAATAGTAATGCAATAAATGTTGTTGACTTTTCTTTAGACTAAATCTGGTAAATGGTATACCTTTTAATATAAGTATAGATGCCATGTTTCATTCATATACAAGAACAAGAAAACTAATCTACATATATATATATATATATATAAATGCTAGCACAACAATTAATAAAACCTTTATATATATATATATATATATATATATATATGCTAGCATGACAATTAATAAAACCTCATTTAATTTCTTTTTCTTTTTTCAAAACGATAGATATATTATATAAAAGCGCACAAAATTGCAAAAGTACAGCCACTAGCTAAATACAACAGCCAACGGCTGAAAACAAACAGCTAATGACTAAATAAACTGGGAGGACAGGTCAGAAGACAGCCTAGAACCTGACTCCAACAGAATAAAAACCTAAAAACACAAAAAATCACAACAGACTACCAACACTAAGAACTCCCAAGAGGAGAATGAGAGAAAACGGCCCCAACAGGGTAATACTCAGTCACATTCGGGCAACACACAGGCCAACGGCCCAGACAAAAAACACAAGAACTACCAAACAACGCAACATACAAACCACCCGCTCACACACGGGCACAAACAGAGGCCACCGGCCCAAACCAAAACATGAGAACTAATCAACACAACTCGAACGAACAACACTCCTAAAACAAAACTAAACAAAACATCTATAACCAACAAAATGAAACAAGCCCTTCCAAAGCGGCAAGGCCGAGCTAAACAAGCGGACACCGAGACGACCCAAGGCAATTCCCGCTGCCCAAGAAGATCCTTGAAACTGCCCGAAAACCGCAAAATGGTGGCCTAACGGAGATGAAACCCAAGCACGGGAACTCACACACAGCCGACTCGCCCCACGGACACAAACACCCAATTGTACCAAGAACCGCCGCTAAACCGAGCCCACTAACACCACTAGCAGAGCTCAGCAGCACCCGGTTCGCTCCCCCGACCTCCACGCCAAAAAAAACAGGGAAGAGGTGCAAGAAGATGTTGCAACCCTAGCCCCTCCGACTTGAAAGCCGCGAGCCACCGTAGCCAGCCCCGACCCTCATCCTACAACATCACACCCCACCCCCCAACCTCCACAACACCAATAGGTCGTCGATCGGAGGCTAGATCCGGATTCAACAAGAAAGCGAACTGACCCCTAAAAATCCACAACCACTGGCTCTAGATGGCGAGACGAAGCGCAACATCTGGATGAAGGCCGAGCGGCCAGGGGCCGACCGCCGGCGAAGCCCGCTGAGGAAGGCGGAAATTGAAAATCCGACGAGCAAGGACGAGAGGATTTTTTCGAATTAGGGCAAGGACGAGAGGAAGCCGTCGCTCAAACCTCATTTATTTTCCCTCCAAAATAAGTTACAAATACATATTTACTTTATTTTTTTTAATTAAAACCTTAAACAACTCACTAATCAATTAAAATTATATATAAATATATATAACCAAAATAATTTTTAAAAAAATAAATGAAAGTATTTGATATTTCCGTCATTTTTTGTTACAATCCAATATTATTATTTTTTTTATAAACCAGTAACTGAAATTTAATCGAAGACATTTTTTAATACACTGGTTAATTAAAATATATTTTTAATTTAAGTTAGTCAAGTATTTTATAATTTTCAAAGTCGTAATAGCTATGGATAGAAGACCAATCTAATGGATTAATCTGAAGCACAAAAAATTGCCACAATATTAGAATTCGACACATAGAATTATAAAACACCAGAAGATGATAATTTGGGAAGCTCTACTTTACATATAGAGAAGATAATTGGGTTTGTAGTTGTGCACGCATAGTCGTACCCAATTTAATTTATAATTACACTAAAATTTTGAGTATTTAGTAATCCACATAGCCGAACCCAAATTTAATCCATAATTAAGGGTATAATTTAATTATTTAGTAATTGTATTTTATAAGTGTAAGAAGAATGTCATTTGAACAATGATAGCTGTTTGTGAATGTTTTTGCTTTGATAGATGTTCGTGGATGCTCTTACTCTAATGATGTAGTGCAATTTATGGGCTTATGAATTCTTGAAGCATAACAAAATTCTTCCTGAAATGAGTTTTCTTATACGCATTGGTTTGTTTGTTATTAAAATAATTATTTGTCATTGAATTACATTCATCAAAGTGGAGCGAAAGTATTGAATTTTTTTTTTTTTTTTGTCGTNGTCGTATCAAAAGTATTGAATTTTAGTGTTTTGTTTTTGTCGTTTATGACTCCAAGTACGAAGAGTATAACGGTAATCCAACAGATTAGCGTGGGCAAAGGGCGATAGTAAGTAACCATAAAATTAGCACCTAAATGACATAATAATGTATTCCAGCAGCAGTACACAACATTAAAATAAATTGTTCGGCTCAGCCATCAATCCTGACAAATACATTAGAATTTGGTAAGTAAAAACCCCTACATCTTATCCTTGAACGTAATCACTTCATTTGGCGTGAATCGCCCGACGAGTATAAACATGCATAAAGACCCCTCCACAATTCCACTATCATCCATAAACTGCCGAGCGACACGATTTTATAGTAGTTTCTTCCTATAACCATGAATTATATCAACTACATATCGAGTATTATATATTTGCTATAGAGTCATCGGATGGCTCGGCTTATGGAACCATCCACACAATTATTCACAAATGGTGTATTGACATGTGTCTTGTATAAATACACATTGGACACGTGTCAGACTGTCAGTACGTAAAGTTATGGATGACTCCATAAAGGAGCCATCCGATGGCTCAATTGAATTTCTGTCGAGTATTATTAATTTGTAGGATCGTCTTAGTGTAGTTGTTATAGTTGCCTCGATGTGGTCTCTGCAAAATTGCATTGGAATCGACTGCATGTATTAACCTTGTTTATAACTCTTGTTTTGGAAATAAATATGATAAGTCATTACTCTTGAATAATTAGAAATTAAACATAGATGGTTACTTACCAAACGCGCTCGCTTAATAGTTAATATNCTGAATTCTTCCCAAACCACTTGGCTCTAGCACCAAAACTTTAAAATTTAAATTGGTTGATACGATAAAAAACCAACATGAATGCTAGGTCAACGTCCTCAAAATAAATGAAAGTGTACCAGCCTTCGGCATGCTTCAGAGTGTACATTGTAGCGACATCCTTCTATTGTCCCAATAATACAGTCTTGTGCAATACATAGAGACAGTGATTCCAGATTGCATGTGTCAACGCCTTGGGCAATACGTTCATCTACTATTGACATACTATGTACTATAGATTAGTGATGATATAATGTAACGACGACATTGCTTTTTCTTTTACAAAGCAACCGTACGTTTTTTTATCCCGGGACATTTGAAAAGAGAAGATGAAAATCAAGGATACAGAGTCTTATATCACATCAGCACGTCTTAATTAGAACACATACGGACCCTAACTCGAGAGGGCACATTACATTTTTGGACTATATGGAGTTGCATCAATCAACTTATCCTCAAATTACATAAAAACCATAACAAAAGAATCGCAAATCGCTAATTTACAAAAATAAAGAACCGCATTTGGGAAAAATCAAGCCAAGATAAACGCCATGAACTAGCAAACGGAACATATGGGATTAGAATGGTTTAATCAAACGGCAGAAAGGCTGGCCCATTTCCCGAGTTCGTATGGATCAGCATAGTAGAACAATTTAACTCTGTTTGCCAGTGATAAGCCCACAGCCCATGGGTGGGCTCTGTATAACTGTATTCCGAGTTGTCCTGTTCTGAAGGGTCATCTGAGAAAGCAGCAATGTCTCCAAGCAGAGAAAATGTTATGCGGCGAGTGCTTATCTGTCTGGGGAAGTCAAAATACATGGGTGTCCCAGGTTTCACTTCTGGTAGTCGATACTCAGCAAGAGTCACCATGTTGTTTGACTCCTGTTAAAAGACATGGTTGGTGGTTTATATTGTTATTGTATGTACCAAATCTAGAAATATGGGACAATTGGGAAAGGAGGTAGAATTCCAATCAAGGTGAGAATGATGAACAAGATATCTTTATTTTCCAGCAAAAGCAACAGATTCAAAGGGGAAAAACCTGACCTGAAAGGTTTCACCTAATTACAAGAGAGAGAGAGAGAGAGAGAGAGAGAGAGAGAGAGATCTTTGAAAGCTTGCATTTCTGTAACAAAAAATTCCATAAACAGAAAATTTTATATGACCCAGGATGGATAAACTCGGGATAGGACACTTTTCGAATAACTGACTGCAAAAAAAGAGATTTGAGGCAGGGACAAGAGACTAGAGAGAGTGACTAAATCATTTTCATCCACCATGATCTTCTCACATGCAAAAAGGCTTTTAAATATTCATAGCCAAAACCTACAATTTAACTAATTACCTAATAATACTATCATCCCTGTATATAATTACCGAATGAGTTGAGCCTAGGTGGCATGTTCTCACGCTTCGGAATTCTATGTGGCAAAAAATCATGTTTCGGAGTCTTGGATATAGATTAATATTTTTTTATACAAAAAAAATTAGTCTTGGATTTTATTTAATGTTTATTATTCATATTAAATCCATGATTGATCTTTTCCTTTTTTTCTTTACGTTTCCTTTTTTCTATATTACCATATATTACATTTCATTTTCTTATTTAATTGATACATCAATTATTATAAATATTATTTTTTTATTTTTAAAATTTTATAACTTTTTTGTTTGTATTTTATTATTTATATATAATATATCAAATTAATTATCTTTTAACGATCTTCAATTTGACATTCATATTATATATAATACAGAACATTGATATATAACCTTAAAAAGAAATTTTAAATTTATTTATCAAACTAAATTAAAGAATATCAAATAAAACTATAAATTATCTTATAAAGTAATAGAAATTTATGTGTATTAACATACCATAAAATAGTTATTTTATCTGGAAAAAATTATGTAACGTAACTATGAACATCAAATTAATATAAAAGAATATGTAAGCTAACTATGAACATCAAATTAATAGACAAAAATATTCTAAGGTTTGTATCTCAACTTAAATAAAGACTACATAGTTGAACATTATAATGATCTTGAAAAAAAAAACAAATAAACATTATAATTACAATAATAAAAATAATTATTGTCTCGTACACATTATATCTTAAATTATTTGAATATTATAAAGTTGAAGATATTTTAAAAAAATATTAGATGAGGAAAGAAAACTGTATAAATATAAAACATAATTACAATATAATCAAATTTAAAAAAAAAATTAATTCAAAATTAAATTATTGACAAATCAAGTATAAAACATGGTATTATTTGAAATAATTAACTTTATTATTTTTTAATAATTAGTTGTATTTTTTAATTTTTTTATCATTCTATTATAATAATATAAATTTGTTCACTTCTTTCTTTTGATAAATTTATTTAATTTTCAAGCACCCGTGTTGTTCATGGGTATAAATTAATTATTATATTTAATTTTGACAAAATGAATATATATTAAATACATAAAAATATTTTCTTGAATTCGAAGTAATATTTAAAAAAAATAAAAATTATTAATTATTTATAGTTGTTTTACTTCACAATAAGAATTTCAATTCTTTTTCACTTTTTGTTGGACAATTAGTTTTTTATGAAACACCCGTGTAGTACACGGGCATTGTTTAACTACTAATATAATATAATATAACTTGTATTTAAAGATGTATCACTATCTGCTACATAGACTAATAACCAATGAATCTATACTTATATTAAAGGGGGTACTATTCACCAAATTAAGTAGCCAGAAAAGTCAACTGTATTTATTGCATTACTATTTCCGTATTATATTATATAAAAGGATATTCTATTTACTACATTTACTATCCAGAAAAGTCAACTGCATTAAATGTCATTACTATTTTGGTATTATAATATTTTATTTATTTAATTAATTTATTTTATTTTAAAAAGGTAAGTATAATAAAAAGATTTTAATAATAAAAAAATCAAATACCAAATAAAAATGTACACTAAATACTTACTAAAGTATTTGTTTTATTTGATTATATTTGGTATTTGATTATACCAAATATATTCCTATTTAGTATATACATTAAATACTTCCTAAAGTATTTATTTTTTTTATTTGCCTAAGTTAAGTATAGATTTGTTTATATTATCAAATCATAAAAAAATATTAAATCCATATTGTGAAAAAAAAAATTCATATAATTTTATAACAATTCTACTAAACTATTTAACAATATTCCTTTTTTATTATATAGTAAAATAATAATTAAATATTATATGGTGAACAACAATAAGTAAAACTGTTACTTTCTCTTATATCAAGGGATAAATTTATATGCTAAAATTAAATTTTTATTAGTATAAATGTTTTAGTGAGATAATATATTAATTATTTTACAAGCTAGCCCTAACATGCTCATATTTAATGTTTTAAAAGATGTAGAAAAAAAACTTATAATAACTCTATTGTTTTTTAGACTTAAACGTTCATTAAAAGAGGTAAAAATTCTTAATTTTTTAGACTTAAACGTTGATTAACACCATAGATTGAGAGTTTATATTTAGTAAAATTCCTAATTGTAATAAAAAAATTAATTTTTGCTATATTTTAGAATATTTTTAAATTCATTATAAAAAAAAAAACTACAATGAAAAAAGCAAGTCAGCTATATATCAATTTGTTGTACTCCTCAAATCACATTCACAATTTGGCTACAAGGAAAGGAAACTCATTGATTAAAATATTATTTTGTCAGTAGTCTTAATGTACAAGAGACTTTAAGACTCCACTTGAATATTATAAAACTTTTATTGAACATTGTACAATTTCTTGCGTATTATAATCTTTTATTGAATATTGCATCTTATAATATAATATTCTCCAAATAAATATATCTCGTGCTTCGCACGTACTATATATATCCCGTACATTTTTCTTTATTCATGTATATAATTATAAGCCTGGATAAATAGCCTTAAAATTGTGCAACCCGTGCATCGCACGGGCTCTGTACTAGTATTAACAAAAACAGGTGTGCAACCCCTTGATAGAGTTTCCATTATTTCAATGAATGGCTTATACAAAGCCTAATACCAAACCAAAGAAGCAAGAGCACACTACTACATGTCTAGTTTTGTAGGCTGTGTATGATCTTTTCTACAGCATAGCCAAGATGAACGTCAACAATTATGAATGGTCAAGATTTAATCTAACTATAGCAAGCATACTTTTCAGCAAGAACCAAAACGATGGATGGGTATTCAATATAGGCAAATTCCAAATCTAAGGCACAAAAGTTGAACATCTTATGAGCCCAGCAATGTCACTATCGGCAAACCATATGCCAATGAGAGACCTTGACTTGGAAAGGATGGGGAATATCAAACATGGTCCACGATAACATGTCTTTAGCATGAGTAAATTAAATTATTAAACAAAACAACAGCAAACATGCTTCTAGTACCTGAAGAGAGGACACATGAATATACAACACGGCAGGCAGGAGAAATAAGCCTCTCATCTAAAAGATAGTCGAGACCACATTTGCGGAAGGCGAATGGTTCACTCGATGCTTTACTGCACTAAAACCATCCAGACAAAATCCAGCCACAAGGGGCGAAGCAGGGGATAAAAATTGATCCAGGACTAGATCATTGTTTATTAATCGCTCGACCTCAATGGGAACCTGAAATGTTAGAAAGAGGGGGTTCAGTTTCAACAACTTCCATAGGTTTGTCAACCTGTTAACATGACAAAGGTCTGGAGAAAAGTAAGTTAATAATCCTTGAATCTGTTCAACTGTGGAGGGTTCTCTAACCAATTCCTCACGTTTATTTGGTCGGGGATGTCCCTATTTCTTTCCTTACAGTACCAACTACTATTACTCTTTTGGCATGAATACATGGTTCACTATCAAATTCTCCACCAAAAGACGCACGCCTGCCGACTTGGGCAAACGGGTTCTCTTCCATGGGCAACAGGTTAAATTCTTTTTCGAAATTGACCGAATTAGATGCAATTCTTGGCAAACGCAAGGTTATCCAGATGATGCGGCACTGAACATGACTCTTGAAGGCAGATTTGACATGCCTAGGAACTTACCATCTTCAAAGGACCTTTCTGGCCCACAAAGTTCGGACGAAGATCTTAGGAGAGATTGAATATCCCATTTCCCTGAGCATAATAGTTCTTCCCTATCTAGTTTACTGCTAACCCAGATTCGTACCTGCACAAACAGAAGAAAGACACATATGTAGAGCAACAATCTAATAGGTAGTTTACTATCCTCTGAATGTGGTTTCAAGACATTATGTCAAAATATAAAAAGGAAATAGGAAATACATGAAAACGTGGACATTACCATTCGTATGCATACACAAGATTGATAAATACATAATTCAAATGACCATATACAAATAAAGTCATAAAATCATAAGTAGGCATGAGGTCAGATTGATAATGTGGACATTATCCATCTCAATGCGACTAAATTTGTGTGTGCATAAAGAAAGAAAGTCATAAATAGGCATGAGGTCAGATTTTTTTTAACTCATTTTCTCGTTCACTTTCTATCCTCTAATTGTTTGTACGCATACCCTTTTGACCAATCTTACTTTCTTAACCCGTTTGATCTATACACATCCATAAAACAATGTCAAATCATAACCAATAAATTATCTCAACATCCGTGTTTTAGCCAAACGAAGCACCATATTCAGACAAGTAAATCTCCTTTCCTCCCGGGTTCGTTTTTAATAAATTTCAACTGCTAATCCATTCCTCTCGACACGTATTTACATTTACATCCATGATCAAAATCCATTGAGCCACTCATTTTCTTCAAATCTTCGCATCCCCAGCAAAATTCCCCTTAAACTTGTTTTCCACCTTCACTGTCAGCACCATGATCTCAAGATTCATCTGCTGACGTGGCATCTGACTCCCATTCAACCGTCTCATCACTCCTCCTGTTTGACTTTGACTCTCTCCTGTAGTTACTTTCTGCACGTACTCGCAAATTCTTATAATTCCCTTCTGCAAAAGTATTCTTTTTATTGTCATCATCATCATCAAAATCCCATTCATTGTCATCCATCTCCGAAAAATCCACATCAGCATCTCCAACTTCATCTTCATCCTCCCAATTCCTTTTCCTTCCAATACTCTCATCATCCGAGCCCTCGACTCTATTCATTTTGGGCCTAACGAATCTAAGCCCAAAATCCTCTCTGTTCCAATACCTAATCCGGTGAAGCTCTTCCTTCTCAGCCTCTTCTTCCATGGCCCACTCTTTATCGGCTGCATCTTCAATCTCCGCAATAAAACGGTCAAGCTCCTCTTGATCACTGTCCTCATCAACTTCTCCAGATTCTCGAGCCCGTTGGGAGACTTGTTCTGGCTCGGCGGGCTTTGTTGTTGTTCTTGTCCGATCCTCACGAAAAACGTAAGGACTGCCTTCTCTTTTGTCGATGGCGTTGAAGAATGTGGAGGCCACTCGCTGGATACTGGCTATGGCAACTGGGTCGTCCGGGTTTACCCCTTTCCGGCGAAGCTCCTGCTCAGTTTTCTTTATGTTGAGCTTTTGGGAATCGAGGGCCTGTTCGAATCGTGCCTTGAAGAGTGCCTGCGTGTTAAAAGGAAGTTATACTTCTTTCTTGTTCGGGCATCTATTTAACAGAATATGTTCTTCAAGTGTTTTTTTTTTAAGTTTGTAGAGAAGCTACAAAAATATTTCTAACATTATAAATGGGATAGCTGAAATGTTTTTATTTATTTATTTATTTATTTATTTATGAAGTGGGTAGAGTTTGACAGAAAATCAAATTCAAGGGTTCATTCATAATTTAAAAAAGAAAAGGCAAAAATTCAACTTTAGTTCTTTTACTTGCCTAAAATCCATTTTTGGTACACTAACTTTCCCCTCATAAAAAATAGTACATTATGTTGCAATTTGTATCATTTTTGGCCCAAAAATGGTTCTTTAGATTGTGGGATTAATGTCCCAAAAATGATATAAATTGCAACACAACGTACTATTTTTTATGTGTAATGTCCCAAAAACAATACAAACTGCAACATAACGTACTATTTTGTTTGTATAAGAGGAAAGATAGTTAACCAAAAAAGGACTTTAGACAAGTAAACGGACCAAAATTCAATTTTTTCCGTTTAGAAACTCTCTAGGGTGGGTCTTTTGTAATTAGTCTATATACATACCGGGGTAATCTTTTCCGAGTTAACCTAGCTCAGATTATGTACAATAAAGAACAAAAGTTAGCAAAAAAATGAAAATGAAGGATTATAAAAGAACCTTTCTTTTTGTTAAGGTATTGATAGGAATCAAATTCTTCGGCTGACGATAATTCCGGCCACGAAACATAATGATAGTCTTCCCGTTATGAATATTGACCACAATGCCCCCGCTCAATCTCGTCAGCATAGAAGCCATCTCCTTAATCTTTTCCTTCGGGAAATTGTCACAGCAAACTTGCACAGTATCGTGGAACTTCCAGTGGAGGTGCATATTCTGAACTACCCCTCCAAAGACCCCACGAACGCCAACTGGCACATAGTTTTTGTTCTTGAATCCAATCTTCTTGTACGCCTGCAACTGCTCGGGAGTGAAAAGCTCCGGGTCATGGCGAGGGGATGGAAGCTCGGGCAGTTCATACTTCTTCAGCTTTCGAAGAAGTAAAGCCACTTTTTTCTTTGCCTGTTAGAGTCAAACACAGGAAAGCAAAAGTATGAAATGCAGTCGTGAAAATAAACGAACATCACAACTCAGAAAGAAAATTGGACAAACAATTCTCCAGCTACTGAACAAATGACTGAGCTGCAGCATTTAACTAATACAATCCAATGGGTTAACTAAAGATATCCAAAGGATTACTGCATAACATTTACATAAAAAATTTAGAAAACAAAGTAAATATCCTGATTATTAGGGTTCATACCCTTCTGAGATTGTAGATAAGGCGTTCCTCATCAGTCATCAATTTCTTCCTCAGCTTTTTCGCCCTTCGAATTTCCCTGAGGGTTTTGCCCGACTCCCTTTGCATCCTTTTCTCCACTTTGCTCCTCATACTCTTAGCCGAAAAACAACGAGCTCCATTAAACGAACTCCACATCTTGCCAGAACTGCGCAAACTAAAATTGTGTGCAGAGGTACTGCTTCTAGCTAGCACCTCCCTCCTTGAAAATAATAAAATAGAACTTAAATAAGAAGCCTACATATATCGACTGTTTTTCTTACAAAAAACAAACGGAAAATGGAAAAAGAAAGTACCTTTGATTGAGGAGCATGTGGGAGAGGGTTCTGATGGATCGCCATGGAAATTTTCGAGCGTAAGCGGAAAACATTTTTATCAGAAACTCCGAATTAGGAGAGGCAGCTGTCAGAGCGGAGGTATTTGATCGTTAATGGAGATGAAGAGGAGGTTTTTCTCGAGCTGCAGTGAGCATGAAGGGAGTTTGTCACTGGTCGGGGATTTAGCAGGTTAGATTTATCACTTTCACCTATATGATTTCTCTTAATTACTAAAAGGCACTCATCTAATTCTTTTTTTTTTTTGTCGAAACGATAGGGATTTTATATATAAAAGCGCACAAATGTGCAAAAGAACAGCCCCAGCTGAATACAAACAGCCAACGGCTGAATACAACCAACTAACAACTGCATAAAATGGGAGGACAGGTCAAAGACCGCCTAGAGCCCGACCCCAACGGGGTAATACACGGGAACACACAAAAAGACACAAAAACACTAGAAACGGCCCCAACAGGGTAATACCCGAGTGTCGGACCCCAACGGAGTAATAATTTTGACACTCAGGCTCACAGGGGCCAACGACCCAAACCTAAAACACAGATACAAACACTAAACAGACACAGACAAAACAAACACAAAAAGACAAGAAAAACAACCTAAAGAAAACAAAACCAACAGAGCCCTCCCCCTTCGAACAAACAATCCCGACCAGCAGTGGACGATCGACATAAGAAGGATCCCAGCTCGAGAAACCGCTACCGAAACTGCATACGGCCTATACAGTAGAAGAGCCCGAGCACCGAATCGATCCTAGAATCGACCCATCGTCAACCGAAAGAGCCGCAACCGACCCCCACACCGGCCCCGCCCGAGCTCGACAAGCTCGAAAGAACCTGGTCCCCCGCCGCCTAACACCACTAGACAGACGGGCTCGCGCAAAGGTAAATCGCACCCTTAACCCCAACCACCACGACAGCCAAGCCGCAGCAGCCGGGGCCCCATCCCACCCCTCAGTACGTGCGCCACTCCATTCAACCACAGATCTCCGACGACCAGAGCCCCAGCCCCACCGGAGCCGGCAAGCCCGTCGGAGAAGCACAACACAATCAGCAGTAGAAAAGGCGAAATTGACCGGACATACCTTCATAGAGCTGCTCCCGCCGGCGATTGAGATGGAGACCCGAACCACCTGTGAGTCGCCGAACCTGAAGGCCGCCGCCGCCAACCGAAGCCACCTCTGCCGCCAATCGACCGGACCCCAACCGCGGAGCATCCAAGGCATAAATGGAGCCACGCTTACCAGGAGAGGGCCAGGCGGTCAAGGACGACCCCTGGCCGTGGCGTTGCCGTCGTCGGGAGAGGCGAAGCAAGTGAAATTGAAGGGAGACCTGATTTGGGGGTAGGGTTTCTCGGTGACGATGAATGAACAATGAATAATGTCTTACTCATCTAATTCAAAACTTCAAATTGACCATCTTGTAATTACAACCTAAATTTCAAAACTTTGCAGTTATAAATGAATCGAGTCGAATTCGAACTCTTAGTATTATAACTCGGGCTTGAGCCTTTAACGAGTTGAGCACGAGCTCTAACCAATCGAGCTCGAGACGAGTTATAGAAAATTATATAAAAATCATGTTATTTAGCTTTAACGAGTTGAACCTAAATCGACTCGTTAACCAAACAAGCTAATATAATGATAAAAAAAGAGTTGATATGAGCTCTCGAATAACTCGTAACCTTTCTCCACTTGCACAAAATTAATTCACACGTTTTCAAAAATAAAAAACATATTTTAAAAAAATAGTTTAAATTATAAATTTTTTTGTGTGAAAAACACATTGTACCTTTTTCTACATTGTTTTAAAATTATCATATTACACCATGAAGAGAAAGAACTTTAAAAGATATATCTCAATAATAGTGTTAAATTTAAGGCAAACGAAAACTACTCATTGAGAAAACTACAAGTGGATTCACACCATTGATGTATTCAAAAGAAAACTACTCATTGTACATTAGTTTCTCTTATGATTTGTACAGTATTAGTTTATTGTACTTTAAAAGAAAAACAAGTTTGCACATGGATTTGGTTACCCGACCCACAAGGATCTTCAAATAAACTTGGTTTGAAAAGACGAGCTTCCTTGGGTAGCTTTTCAAATAAGCCCATTGAATCTTTTCTTAAGCTACCTTATCTAATTTTACCATACTCTTTTACAATGTTATCAATGGCGGATGGCAGTCCATGGCGGAGAGCCAAAAAACAACCATATTTATATGGCGGATGGCGTAGCGGAAAATGGCGGAAGTTATGGCGGACCCAAAAATATATATTTTATATATATTTATACATATAAAATTTACATATGAACAAACACAAACACCTAAAAACAGAGTGTTCACACTAGGGGCGGTACCGTAATTACTTCGTTTGTTGCGTTCACACTTAAAGAGTTGGTTAATTACGGTACCGCCCCTAGTGTGAACACTCGCAGTATATAAGCAACCTCGTCCTGCTTGTACCGCCCCTAGTGTGAACACTCGCAGTATATGTCAATTTTCACAAAAAAGAGGCATTAGTTTCACAACATAACAACATACCATGATACCAAGCATCATTCAAATTTCAACGTGTTCAAATTAACCACACACATTAACCAAGCATCCGATGTCGTTTTTCATCCGATGTCGTTTTTAGTGTTGGACCTGCTAGCCCGTGAAGGGACCCCGTTTGACATTTCTTGAAATTTATAAAATGAATACTTTGTCAAATCTAATTCTCAAATAATAATAATAACAATAATAAGCTTATAAACTTCAACACTAAGCCACCAATCTATATATATATAATTACTAGCTCAAAACATTTAATAAAACCTATTTAATTTTACCTATGTGGCAATTTAACAATTTTCCCTCCAAAAACCGTTACATTTTGATGTATTTAATCTTTCATTTAATCATTAAATAATTAATACTCATCACTTCAAAATTACAAAAATTATTTTAAAATTTTTATTAATGACAGTTGACCATATAATGTGTTGACCGTATAATGTGATTAGATTTATTATTGTTGTTACATTTAATTTTTTTTAAATAAAAAATATATTTGAAATTCCTAAATAAATAATAAATAATTCACAAATAAAAGACATACCAAAATATACATTACATCCAATTAGATAAACGCAATTTAAAAAAAGATATTCCAACTCTTTTAATTGTAAATTTGATCTACAAAAAAGTGAAAGAAAAATAATTAATCATTATATGCATACAGACTCACAATAATTTATTTATATCTGTGCAAATGCACAGGTCGAATACTAGTAATATAACTAATGTGAATATACACATTATAAAGCACAATGTAGCAATTAGTAAAATCTAAGTGAAAATTTAAATACACATTAAACATAAAGCTTTCATTCCATACTTTCAGTTTCAGTAAACTGAACCAAAAAAAAACTGAAAATAGAAGGAAAATAAAAAAATCGGAAACTGAAAAAAAAAAAATAAANTAAAGCTTTCTTTTCATACTTTCAGTTTCTTTCCATTCACTTATTCACATCATTAATCATCAATTATGAAATGAAGGAAAAAAAATGCCCTAAATCTGAAACTGAAAATAGAAGGAAGAAAAAAAAACTTACTAGTGATTGAGAGCCTCCTTGCCGGAGCTGGAGTCGCCGGTCGCCGGAGGGTTGGGTCAGTAGAGAGCGCACGGTAGCAGCAGATAGGAGAGTTTGAAGAGGGTAGGGTGTTTGTGTTTTAGGAAGAGAGAAGCCGGTTCGTATGTATTATCTGTTATAAAGTTTAATTTTTGTTTTTTTTTAGTCCTTAGGTTGGGCCGGTAAAAAAGGCCCTGCAGACAATTAAATTTTGAGCCAATAAAATGGCGACAAGTGTCAAATTCCATGTTAAAATCAATTTAATAATTTTCTATTTTATTTGGGAAAGAAATCAAATTTTAATTCCTAAATTAAATAGTTAATTAATTGATTATTTAATATATATTGTTGGCCAATTAAACAATGCCACATGTATATTTTGAAGGCCAAATAAAAAAATGCCACATGTCATTTTCTTGGAGAGTAAAATAAATAATTATTTCTTTTAATAATTATTATAGAGATAAATAAGTGGAAATTCATGGACCAATCAAATTGAAGTCTTCTTTTCCACGAGTCCATCTTCTAATTATCTCTTTAATAAATAAATATTGGAAATTATGGACCAATCAAAACGAAGTCTTCTTTTCCAAGACTCTCTCTCCTAACACCTATAAATAGGGACCCTCCCTAAGGTGAAAATGACAATTGATATTCATCAAGTTCCAAGAGCTCTAGAGAATTCTCTCAACGAGATTCAAGTGTTCTTGAAGATCCAAATGCGTTCTTGAAGATCCAAAGGAAGATTCAAGCGCATTCAAGCTCAAAACCGACGTTCAATCTGGAAACAAGCTTCCAAGCCTCCGAGTTGCGTTACTAAAGTCAAGACCGGCGTAGAGAAGATAAAAATCAACTTTGCGACGAAGACCAAGGACTCGTGTTCTTCACGTTCTTGGGAAATCACGGCGTTCGATTCGAGATCAAGCTACCAAGCCCTCGAAGAAACGTTATTTAAATCCAAATTCAAGACCTGCGGAGATCAAACTGAAGATTCGTCTCCAAAAGTCTCAAATCCACTTGAAGATTGTTCTTGAAGAAATTAATCAGAGGAATAATAGAGATTTAGAATCCACTATACTTCATTTGATCCGTTGAAATCCATTTGTACGAAGTTCTCATGTTTATAAATTCAACAAAACGAATTTTGCGTTACAAATTTCTGGCACGTCTGGTGGGACAATCTCTACCTCTCATCTCTTTTTTTCAAGATATCTAAGTGCAACGATGACTCCTCCCAAGTCAACTTCTTCAAGTTCTGCAAGTGAAAGTGTTGGTGTCACAACAAGAAGCATGGCAAAAAGCAAGAGTGTATCTCTAGAAGTAAATTCTCACCAAGTTGAGGGAAACATGTCGCCTTTGAACCAAGAAGAAGATTTAAGAGACGATGTTTCATCAACACCTTTTTCAATGGAGGCACTTGTTATGATGATGAACGCATCAACCATTGAAGAGCAACTTGTAACCATGACGAAAACAATGGAGGCATTGATAAAACATGTCCAAGATTAAGACTCCATGATCTTAAAGTTGGTAGA